TGATTCACGGCGCCGTCCTTGTTCATGACGTCGCACGTGGGGGATTGCTCGCTGCCCCCACTCCGCCCTCCCCTGTGGGGTCGGGGGGGTGTTGGGGAATAGCGATTCGGATTGCCAGAAGTATGTTATGCTCTCCTCGGATTTTCGCCTCCTGCCGGGTGCAGGCGCAAGTTGTGTGCAAGTGCTCTGTGGGTGTTGGCCAGGAAAAGCCCGAGTTGCGCTATGGGGCGGCCCCCTGCCTACCTGCACACCTCAAGGGTGTAAGAGACTGCAGGGATGGGTGGGAGGCGGCGGGGGCTCACGCAGGTTGCGCGAGCAGTCTGCGCACGGAGGTTGATCGGGACCAGGAAAATGCCGACCATACTATGTTATGCTTGTCCACCGCTTAGTGGCAAATGGCGGCCCGCACACGGTGCAAAGATCGAGTTGTTTCAACTCTTGTCGCCCGGAACCGGTCGTAACATTATACACTACACCTTGTCCTGTAGCGTTTCTGCGAAGCCGTATGGGACAGGGCCCAGATACCTGAGTGTACATACGTGCGGTTCCCAGTTGAGCTCGCAGTTTGCGCGCGCAGGGTTCCGCAAGCAGGTTGCGCGCGCAGGGTGTGCGCGCTGGTCGCGCACTCTGTTGCGCTCCTCTCCCCTTCAGCTGTGCCTTTCACTGCTGTTGTGGCTTACCCATGAGCGCTGTTGTTCGCCTGACGACGGCGCAGGCGTCGCTGTCGACCATCGAGCCTCTGCAGACTCATGATTCCTCGCCCAGGAAACTGTTCTGTGAGGCTTGGCCATAGATTACCAGTAGCATAGCAGCCCCACCCCCAGCCCCAGCAGGTTCCACGAGGGGAGGTCCGGTCCAGAGGTGGTGGCGCCAGGTTTGGTAGCCGGGGCGCTGGGCCTCCGCACGGGCAGCCAGCGCTGGGGCTCCACACGCGCTTCGTTTTTCCCAAATCGCGTCACGCTGCAGGGCTACAGTCTGGCTGTGGAAGACGAGCGGACGAAGAAGCCGCGCCCAGACGGCGCACTGGCAAAGTGGAATAGCACAAGCGCGTGAACAGGACATGCTGCCGCAACGCCAGTAGGGCGTGGCAGTTCCCAGAACCCCCCCTGGAAAATCACCCCGATACCCCCCTTCAGGGGGCCTTTTTGGAGACGTTCGGTGGGGGGGGTCCCTCCCAGACCCCCGGACCCCCCCTCTAAGGGAGTATATTTTGGATGGTTAGGGGCTTAGTGGGTTTCTCCCATTGGAGAGTTCCCTCCTGGAGCCCTCCCTCCCTCAAGAGGGGCATTTGTAGGGGTTAAGGGGGGTTGGTGGGTTGTTCCCCCAGGAACCCTCTCTCGCCACGGACCCCCCGCCTCATGGGGTGTGTTTGCGAGGGTTGGGGGGTTCTCTCTCCTGAACCTATATCAGGGAGGCGTTCAACGAAACAAATGTAGTGTTAGCTGCTGAGAAGCAGGAGATGCTTCGCCACACAGAGGGTGTACATCTTAATTCTGGATTTGCAATGTTTTCATCACTTTTGACTCGCTGGTGTAATGACCAAGCTGGCCGGTGCACTGACCATTTTGGGTCAAAAGGGATGTTGTTGGTGGTGATGATGAATATGATGGTGGCGATGGTGTTGATGATGATGCTGCTGATAATGAGGAGAAAGAGGAAGAGGAGGAGGATAGGAATAAGGATGAAGATGATAATGAGGATGATGATGATGATGATGATGATGATGATGATGATGATGATGATGATGATGATGATGACGCCGCTGCCGCTGACGGCGATGCAGAGGACGAGCATGATAATGCTGATGATGATTGTGACGATGTCTAGTATGACGGTGACGATGATGGTGATGATGATGAGGATGATGATGATGATGATGATGACGGTGATGGTCATGATGATGATGATGATGATGATGATGATGATGATGATGATGATGATGATGATGCTACTTATGATGGCGATGCTGATGCTGATGATGATGCTGATGCTGATGCTGATGATGATGATGATGATGATGATGATGATGCTACTAATGATGGCGATGCTGATGCTGATGATGATGCTGATGCTGATGCTGATGCTGATGATGTTGATGATGATGATGATGATGATGATGATGATGATGATGATGATGATGATGATGATGATGGCGACGGTGATCATGGTGGTGGTGGTGTTGAAGCTGATGATGATGAAGATGAGAACCTCCAGGATGAAGAGGAACATGAGGTCCAACATGTGGCAAGCACGTTCACAATGATACGGGCTGGGAAGGAGGATGAGGACGTGGAGGGAGATGATAAGGACGAGGAGGAGGAGGAGGAGGTGCAGCAGGAGGATGACAAGGATGGAGGACTAGGAGGGAGGAGCACGAAGAAGAAGATTTTGGGACGCTCTTTTGGCGCTCTTTGAGTCGTCGAGAGGCCTTATCGGACTTCTCTTGGTACTCTCTTCGGCCATTTGGGGGCTACTTTGTGGCCTCAGAGGCCCTCTCGATCGCTCGCCGCCGGCCCGCCGCACGCCGCCCGCCCGCCGTGCTTCCGTGTTCAACACAACACCCAGTGCTCAACAGCATGCATCTGCAGCACAACACCGAGTAGCCAACACCACTCAACAGCATCTCGCTGCAAGAGAGAATCCTGAGGATTTCTACTGAAACCCCGATCCGCCCGCCCGCCGCCCGCCCCCCGCCGCCTGCCCGCCATGTCTCCTTGTTCAGCACAATACCCAGTACTCAACAGCCTGCGTCTCCAACACAACACCCAGTACTCAACAGCCTCTGTCGCCAACACAACACCCAGGTCTAAACAGCATCCCGCTGCAAGAGAGAACCCTTGGGAGTTCTATTCAAATCCCAATGCTCCCGCCCGCCGCTGGCCTGCTGCCCGCCGCCCGCCCTCCGTGCTTCCGCGTTCAACACAGCACCCAGGACTCAACAGCCTGCTTCTCAAACACAACACCCAGCGGCCTCCGTCTCCAACACAACACTCGGTACTCAACAGCATCCCGCTGCAAGAGAGGATCCTGAAAGTTTCTTATCAAGTCCACCAGATCCGCCCGCCCGCCGCCCGCCTCCCGCCCCCTCCCCGTCACGTGTTCAGCACAATGCACAGTGCTCAACATCATCCGTCTCCAACACACCACCCAGAAATCAACAGCATCCGTCTCCATCATAACTCGCAGTATTCAACAGCATCCCGCTGCAAGAGAGAAACCGCAGGATTTCGATTTCAACGCCGATCTGCCCGTCCGCCGCCCGCGCCCCGCCGTCCGCCCGTCGCCCGCCCGCCGTCCACTCAGTACTCAGCAGCATGCGTCTACAACACGACGCCCAGGACTCAACAGTCCCCGTCTCCAACACAACACCCAGTATTCAACAGCATCCCGCTGCAAGAAAGAACACTGAGAAGTTTTATTCGAATCCAGATCCGCCCGCCCGCCGCCGGCCCGCTGCCCGCCGGCTGCCGCCCGCCCGCCCTGCTCCCGTGATCAACACAACGCCCGGTATTGAACAGCATCCGTCTCCAACACAACACCTTGGCACTCTACAGCCTCCGTCGCCAACAAAACACCCAGGTCTTCACAGCATCCCGCTGCAAGAGAAAATCCTCTGGCGTTCTATTCAAATCTCGATCCATCCGCCCGCCGCCCGCCGTCCGCCCACCCGCCGCCCACCCGCACCCCGACCCTCGCTGTCCGCCCGCCGTAGATCCGACACAACACCCAGTAATTACTCAACAGCCTCCGTCTCAAACATCGCACTCAGAACTCGACATCATCCCGCTGCAGGAGAGAATCCTGAGGAGTTAAGATCCCGATACGCCCGCCTTCCGCCCGCCGCTCGCCGCCCGCCCGTCGCGCTTCAGTGTTCAACGCGATACACAGTACTCAACATCATCCGTCTCCAATACACCAATCCCTACTCAACAGCATCCGTCTCCAACACAGCACCCAGTATTCGGCAGCATCCCGCTGCAAGGAAGAGCGCTGAGGAGTTCTATTCAAATTTCGATCCGCCCGCCCGCCGTCCGCGCTCCCGCCGCCTGCCGCCCGCCCTCCGCCCGCCCGCCGCCCGCCGCCCGCTCGCCGTGCTCCCGTTTTCAACACAACACCCAGGACTCTGCAGCATCCGGTCCCAACACAACACCCAGTACTCAACAGCCTCCGTCTCCAACGCAACAGCCAGTACTCAACAGGATCCCGCTGCAAGAGAGGATCAGGAGTTTCATCAAAATCCCGATCCGCAAGCCTGCCGCCGGCCCGCCGCCCGCCCGCCCGCCGTGCTTCCGCGTTCAGCACAACACCCAGTAATCAACAGCATGCGTCTCCAACACAACACCCAGTACTCAACAGCCTCCGTCTCCACTACGACACGCAGTACTCAAGATAATTCCGCTGCAAGAGAGGATCCTTGCGAGTTCTATCGGAATCCCGATCCGCCCGTCCGCCGCCGGCCCGCCGCCCGCACGTCATTGTGCGCCATTGTGCGCGCCATTGTGTGCTGATGTTGGTGTGCGCCATTGTGCACGTCATGGGTGTATCCTCTTGGTGTGCGACATTGACGCATGTATCATGTGGATGTTTTCCAGTAGTGTTCTAGATGACTGCGGGTTGCATGACATCGTGGCGCCTGGACGGCATGACGCCGTGGCGCCTCATTGGTGGGGCTCGGCGGGACGGGAATTCCAGGGGTCATCTGGCATCTTGGGCGCGTGGCGGCCGCGGAATGCATGACAGGCGAGGCGGGTCACATGCAGGAGCCTCTCACATGTCGACGTGGGCTCTCTCAGAAGCCTGTAGGGCCCTCCCAAGATCCTCTCCAGACTCTAGAGTCTTTCAAGAGCGTCTCAGGACCCCCTCAGGACCCTCTCATGACCCTCTCAGGAGCATCTCAGAGTATCCTGGCATCCTGCTTCTCGGGTGCTCCGTCGGGTCGACTGCATTTCAGCAATGTTTTCCCCCAAATTCTGGCGCCTTCCTGGAGGAACGGCGTCGCGATGAGGAGCCAAAGCGCCGCGAGGAGGACACCAGGCGCGACGCAGAGGAGGAGGCGCGCCGCGAGGAGGAGAAGCGGCAGAAAAGCGCGGAGGAGGACATCGGCGCCATGCGCAAGGGTCGTGTCGGACGAAGAGAGGGTGGGCTGCGAAGTCTTCTTCGTTCAGCTGGTTTCGGCTCCGCCGCCAGACGTTGTCCGAGATGCACGGCCCGCCCCCTTCGTGCGCCCGATGGCGCCGGGCAACCAGCCTGGTTGCAGCTGGTTCGCTTAATCCCCCACTCTCCTTTTGCTGCCCCGCACCTCTTCCGTTCTTTCGTTCGCTGTCGCCGCCGTCGCCACCGCCGCCAACGCCGCTGTCGTCGTCGTCGCTGTCCTCGTCGTCCTCGTGGTCGTCGCTGTCCTCGTCGTCGTCGTCGTCGTCGTCGTCGTCGTCGTCGTCGTCGTCGTCGTCGTCACCGCCGTTCTCGTCGTCGTCGTCGCCGCCGTCGTCGCCCGCACCTTGCAGCGGGGGGCGGGGCGAGGAGGGGGGTGCAGCCTTCGAAGGCAGCCTCCACGCCGCCGTCATGGTTTATCCTGGGAGGCCGCCGTCGAGCTTCGGCGGCGACGATAGGGGCGACTAGCCCAGGGGTGGGCATTACACGTATTCGCCCGGGAGCCTTTTCGAAGACATAGATCATCGGCGCACCTGAATACATGTATTGCTCTCCCTGGGCTATTCGCCCCTATCGTCGCCTCTGGGAGCTGGGACCCGTGTGCAGTGACGGGAGGCTCCGCTGCCTTCTGAGGGGGCCACGCCCTTCGCGCACTTCGGCAGCAAATCATGGGAGCCTCATGCGTCCCCACAAGTCCTCTTTCAGAGTGCGCCTTTGCGTATCCCCCCAAGCCCAGCCAGAAACGAGGCCCTGGCGAGTGGGATCCTCCAGCGCGTCGCGGGGGGGAGGGTTCCAGACCCAGGGAGCGGGGACGTGGGGAAGAGGTGGTACACCTCTCCGCGGAGGGGAACAGGGAGGAATCACTAACTCGTTAGACCACCCACGCCCAGAGGGCTGGTGGGACTTCAATTGGAACCAGCAGTGGCGACGAGGGCGCCCGCAGCATTGGAAGGCTCGATCCGCGATTCTCGAAGCTCTACGGTTAAACGTTGGAAAGATCGTGTGCGATTTGGCGCCGCTGGCCCGCATGTTACACGCTATCGCCCACCTTGGGGACAGCGTGCACCGGAGAAGCCGTGGCTGGGCGATAGCTTGCGCAGAAGTGTCGGGAGCCTTGAGACGGGGGTCAATGCAAACGGGGGACAGCCAGAGCCCGATCTTGCAGGATCCTGCAGGGCCAGGGTCGCACTGACCCGGGTCTGGGTGCAGGATCCTGCAGGATCCTTCGCAGTGACCCCGGTGTTGGTGCAGGATCTTGCAGGATCTTGCAGGATTCTGCAAGGCTTGACAGACTCGGGTCTGGCATGACCCGGATCAGAAGATCCCCGAAAGTGGCCGTCGCTGGGGGATCGCCTTGCAGGGATACGTAGCGTGTTTTTGTTCGGAGATCGATGTTGCACGCCATCGTTCCTTTCCCAACCGTACATGAAGACTCGGTCTACGGCTTGTGCGCGCCTGCCAAGGAGAAGCGTCGAGGCGCCGAGGAGGAGGAGCGGGCCAAGCGCCGCGAGCGGAGCGAGAGCGCCAAGAAGCGCCGCGAGCGCGAGGAGGCGTCCCGGGAGCCGTCGCGCGCGCGCTCGGGCCCCTGCGGCCTCCGAGGGCGTCCGAGCGCCTCCGCGGGTCTCCCCCGAGGCCCTCCGAGAATGTCCGATGGCCCCCAGGGGGGGCCTCCAGCGGCACCGTCCCCGACGACTCCTGAGAGCCGCCGACGGCCCGTGTAGCGGAGTCGGCGCGCTGCGATCTGTGGCGGGAGGCCCCCCTTGGACATTGGCGGGTGGCGGGCCCGTCTGGCACTCTCCTCCTCCTTCTCCTTTTCGATGTCCCTCCTCCTCCCTCCTCCCTCCTCCCTCCTTCTCCCTCGTCCTCCTCCGTAGCCGTTTTGACTGAAGAGGCCTGCTCCTGAACTTTTCTGTTTTGTTCAGCAGCTTGACAAGAAGGGCCTGCGCGTGGTCCCGCCCCTCTGCGAGGTGGCTCCCAATTCTCAGCTTCTGTTTGGACGCGGGCAATCCGTCCCGTTTGGCGGCGTGGCTCTGGGACCCCATCGATCTGGGACTCAGGGCATTTCGGGGGGTGTTCTTCCCCGGGTTAAAGCGGGGGTTGCTCTTCCCCGAGTTAAAGGATCCGCAGCACGTCAGCGTTTTGGAGGCATCGGCCGTCTTCGACTAGGCGCGCCACACGCTCAAGCAGGTGAAGCACTACAGCCAACGAATTCTGATCCTTTTCGATCATCAGGGCGCCATGCATGTGCTGACCAAGAGTCGCCAATCCTCCCGCCAGCTCCATGCTGTCTCCGCCTCGGTGCCCTCACCACGTCCGCCGCCAACTTCCAAAGCTTGTACGGCTGGGTCCCCCCTGACCTTCATCCAGTCCGCGGGCACAGCCCTTGGCTGGCGAAGTTGTGGCCAGTATTGCCTATAGCCGCACCGCGCGGCACCGCACCAAGAGAACGCCTGTGGCACCACCGTGTGTCACCTCGGTCCCTCGACCGCCATACGTTCGCTGCCGTGCGGGCCCACTTGAACTTCCCCCCAGAGTTGCGGCACGGGCTACTTATCTCGCTGGTCGCGCTGGACCAGGACCTAGAGTTCTACAAGTCGTTGCGCCGTTTGTTCCGACGCGTGGCCTTCCGTACTGGGGAGGGCGCCTCTGGGCAAACGCCCCTTCGGGCGCGGTGGGTTTGCTGTCGGTTTGAAGCGGTGCCAGCCTCGTCTACTTGGACTGCGGGACGCAGGGTTTGCCGTGGGTTTGCTGTGGTGTCGGAGTCGTCCGCTTGGGCGCGTCGAGAACAAACGGCGAGGCGACACATGGAGATTCTCCGCGAGCTCGGAGAGTCCAAGTCCCCGGCCGTTGCCTTGCCCCGCGGGCTCGGGCACTTCCTCCCGGCAAGTCGGCGGCACGTACATGCTTGGGGCATTCATGGCGTCTTCGCGGAGCGCGGGGGCGCGCGAAATTGCCCGCGTGCGCACCTCCGCTCACCCCGTTCTGCACGTTCATTCTAGGCGTTGAAACAGGGACCACTTTGGGCTCAGGAGGGGCTCTGGTTTTCAGCCGTTCCGTTAGGTGTAGATCGGTGAACCCGTTTTTGGTCAAGGTTCGCTGTAGCCAGAAGGGCCCCTTCGTTCTTATTTGGCGTTCCTTCTGGTAGCACGATGCCTGTATGCACTCGCGCAGGCTGTGTTCTTAATGCTGGCCCCCTTGACACTTTCACACTCCCTGTGGAGCGTTTTAGAACACGTGTTCACAGGATGCATTGTGGATAGTGTCGTGTCCAGCCAGGGCGTGCGGACCCTGTCACGCAGCAGATCTGGAGAGCGGCAGGGAACCATGAATAACATCGCCATGGATGACCTCTGGGTGGTCCGTTTGATTCCCTTGCGCTTTCACGCCATCGCTCCAGACCAAATCTTGTGGACCGCCATCGGGGAGACCTACCAGCGCAGGCTGTGCCACAACCGCGGTGTCCGTTGGTACTCTCACCGCCTGGGCGGCGCGACGCGCGCAAGGAAGAGGTCAGAGAGCCCCCGAGAGCTGGAGAGACGGGGGCCAGTTGTGAGTGCGACGCCATAGATGTGACGGCCTCCACTCTCCCCAAACTGCGTTGCTGACTTCTGAGCTCCCGAGAGTCCCCTTGGGGTATTGCAGGTCACTGTCGCTGCTGGTGCGGTCGCCGCCTGCTCGTTTGTAAGGAGTGCCCGCACACACGGCAGCGCTAAGACGAGAAGTATAGCTTGAACGCCATCCCATCCACGTAACCGCTGGAAAATTGTAGATCCAATCACGGACATGGTGAGGAAGGCCCAGACGAAACGCACACGCTTTCCTACAGGCATGTCTGGTGGAGCGACGAGGAGGCGTTATCTATCACGACATGGGTAAGCTATGATGAGGATGATAATGCCCCCTCCACGAGGCGCACGAGACGTAGGAGGGGAAGGACAAGGCGGTGCAGGAGGGATCTGGCGCCTGGAGCCTTTTTGGGTGTTTGAGGAGGCAGGGATCTGGGGATTTGGGGGCGTCTTTCCGGTGTCGCGAGGGAAAGCCAAGAGAGGACGACGAGGGAGGAGGAAGATGAAGGATGACGAGGACGGATGAGAAGCAGAAGGGACAAGGCATGGAGGAGTAGATAATAGGGAGAAGGACAAGGTTAACGAAGAGGAGGGGGCGGGGACGAGAACGACGAGGACGAGGACTTGGAAGAGGCTCTCACGACGCTGGGTTTCTGCTGGGCCGGGCCTGGGGGTTCCAGGCCAGGGCAGGGGGCGGGCTCGAGAAGTGAGGCAGGGACGGAGGGAGGGGAGGGGACGAAATGGGGACGGAATGAAGGATGAACGATGGAGGGAGGCAATGGGGAGGGAAGCGGAAGGGAGGGAAAAATTTGGAGGGAGTGGAACGGGCTGGCGAGGGGAGGGAGGAGAGCAACGAGGCCGATGACGACGCTTTTGGCCCTCACGACGCGCTGTGTCCGCGGAGCCTGGCTCGCCTTGCCTGGTGCAGAAAGGAAGCAAGGGCGAGATGGGGGGCCAAGGGTTGAATTGGGAGGGGAGGGCGTCCCTCCACGTCAGGAGTCGCAGCAAGAAGCAGCGACGGGCTTGCTTGTCGAATATTTTTGCTCGGCCCCCCGGGGCCCGCCCTGACGCCAAGGGCGCCACATGAGAGAAAGCGCCGTCGGAAGTCTGGGGCGGGGAGGTCTGGGAGGAGAGGGGGTGAACAGGGAGGAAGTGAGGGGATGGGGGTGGAGCGGGGAAGGGGGGGAACTGCTGTGAGAGGTGCGTGTGTGTCATATAGTGACGACGACGACGACGACGACGACGACGACGACGACGACGACGACGACGAGGGAGAGAGAGAGAGAGAGGGGCAGAGAGGGAGGGAGGAAGGGGCACGGACGACCACAACCACATTCCAGACAAAAGGGTGGGGACACGGTCGACCAGGGCGGCGGGTACGGTCGACCAGAAAGGGATACCGACCTGATCCTCCCCTTTGTCGTCATCCTCCTCCTCTTCCTCCTCCTCCTCCTCCTCCTTCTCCTCCTCCTCCTCCTCCTCCTCCTCCTCCTCCTCCTCCTCCTCCTCCTCCTCCTCCCCCCCACCCTCTGGGGCCTTCCTGGACCTAGCAAGTACTGGAGGCGTCGCCCCGAGGGCGCTCGAGTTCCCCAAGATCCCCATACCCCTTTCCGCAGCGGCCAAAACGCGCAAGGGCACACGTTTTGCAAACAAGTGCTTCAGTGCGTTTCTTCTCGGGCCCCAGACCTGGGGGTTCCTGGTCGCCTGGGCTGCGGACTCCCGAGGCCCTGGGAATGTGAAAATATTCCACGGACGGGACTGTTTGCGATTTCGAGTCTTTCAAGCGAAAATTGAAATTCTGTGGGGTCTAGGGTGTTCGGACTTCGTGGTTGCCTGGGCTGCGCACCCCCAAGGCCTTGGGAACTTCAGAACAAGAAATTGACAGTTATTGAGATCGTAAAGCGGTGTTTATTTGTTGCATCGTTTTGCAAACATGTTTCGGCATTCTTGGAGTTCTGCGGTCTTTGGGTTTCCTGGTCGCCTGGGCTGCGGTCTACCGATGCCTTCGGAATTCCATGTTTGGGGTTTTCGCATGGGTTTCTGAACCCCTGGGTTTTCGAATTTCCCAGAACTTCGAAACTGTAAACTTTGGAATGCGTGCCGAGGCGGACTGAGAATTCAGAACTGATAACAATGAACAGATGTCAAAGTTCTTCGGAGTTCCGTTTTCCGAACCCCTGAGCCTTGGCACCGTTCAGCGTTTTTAATGAAACAAGCCCCAGAGGAGGGCCGAGATGCACCCACAAGCCACCCAACACGCCTTCCGGAGCACCCCGAGGACATGCGTCAGAGGGCCCACAGTCGTCCAGGGTTAAAACAAGTATAGGTGTACGGATATTTGGATGGACGTAAGCATTCGTATGTATGATATATATATATATACACAGTCACACACGTTACCCAATTAGGCTTGCCTGAGAGGCTCTTATCTGGTAAAAAGCAGGTGCCTACTACTGTTAAGTTGCCCGCTGCTCGGAGGTCCCCCGGGTTCCCCGAGCTCTCCTGGTTCCCCGGGTTCTCCGCCCGCGGTGCCATTTATTGTTACTTTGCCCAGTTCTCGAAGGTTCCCCAGGTTCCCTCCCCCGGAACCTCGTGCCAAGCAATGCCAAGCCGCCAAGCCCCGGGGTTCCCGGGCTCCCCGACCCGGTGCCTCATGCACAGTAATGCCGAGCAATGCAAAGCATTGCGCCCATGTTATAGGAAGCTTTTCCCTGATTGGGGTCGTGACGGACTCATGTATATATACTCTAATATAGTATATAATATAGATAAATGCCGCCGGCCCCCGGCCCCGGGTCCCACACCTCCCCGTGACATCTCGGTGACGCTCCCTGCACCGCTTCCCCGGCCTTTCTGGGGAGCCTCCACAGCGCTCCAGGAGGGCCCAAGACGCCTCCCAGGAGCCCCCAGAATGCGAAAGGATGGCCCAAGACGCTCCCAAGCAGCCCAAGTCAGCCTTCCGACGGCTCTCGAGGCTCCCAGGTGGCCTCCAAGAGACCCCAAGAGAGGTCCGAAAGGCGTCCCGGGACGGCCCGAAGAGGCCAACATCGTCGATTTTCATTGGTTTTTCAATCAAATGTTTTTTGCTTCCGGTACCGCGCCTCCCTGCTTCCCGGGGGGCCCCCAAGACGCCCAGGGACAGCCCAGGACGACCCCAAGGAGCCCCCAGAACGTAAAGAACGGCCCAACACGCTCCCGCGCAGCCCGAGACACCCTTCCGACGGCTCTCCAGACCTCCAGGAGGCCTCCAGAACCCCCAGGGGGTCCGGAAGATCCCACACCCCTGAGGGGCCCGGCTAACAAAACCCGCGAGGCACAAACAAAAACAGCGCCGAACAGCGCCGAGGAACTGGACAAAAATTGAAATCCCACAATTCATGTTTTTCTCCAAGTTTGGCCCCCGGTCTACTCTTGCACAACAGACCACAATTCAGACCCCCCTCACCTCTTTAAAAAAGAACCCAGAAATCCTTTGAGGACCCCAAATCGCTCAACACCTAAAGGAAATGAATGATTTCTGCGTTTCCGCACTTCCCCTTCTATACGATTCCGAGGCTTGCGCAGGGTCTCCAAGGGAGCCCCTGGACGCAGTTAGCGACCAACATGATATTACATGAGTTAGCCGATCAAGCCTAGCTAGAACGTGAGCGCGCGCGAAGCGCGCGATGGTTCTAGCATATATATATATATACACATGTGTGAACATATGCCTATGCACGTATATATATATATGTATATATACACGTGTATACACACATATATATATAGATATAAGCTATAGGTGAGTGTTTGTATATGTATATACGTACAGGTGTGTATATACACGCGTCATTACGTATATGTATACACCGGAGGCCCCAAGAGGCATCGATGATATCCCAAGGAGACCTCCCAATCGCCTTCCAATAAAGCCTGAGAAGTCGCCAGGATTCTTCTTGTCCACGACCCACGCATTACGAACCACCCTCCTCGTCGATCCTCGATCCTCGAGCCTTCCTATTCGACGATCCTCGAGCCGTCCTCCTCGTCTTCGATCCAGACGTCACTTTTACAGGGGGGGGCGGTTCCCCTAGATTGGGCGCAAATTTGATGGGGATCGGTCCTCCTAAATCGCCCCCCCGTCTTAGGGGGACCTGTCCCCCTCAAGTGCCTCCCCGTTTTAGGAGGACTGGTCTCACTACAATGCCATACCGTTTCGGAGGAGCGGCCTCTATATGGCGCCGTCTTGGGGCCACCCTGGAGGCCGACCCAGCCTACCTGGCGACGCCTTGGGGGCGCCCCGAGACTCTCCGCAGTCCTCGGGACTGCACCCTCCAAGGACCCCCCGGAATCATCGACATCAAACGCTTCCTGTGTGATTCTGGGAGGGCGCAGGGGCTTCGCAGTGGTACGAATTTGAATGCAAGGTCGTACCACTGTGCAGCCCCATCGTTGGGCCGTCGTGGGCCGTCTCTGGACGTCTTGGGACCATCTTGGAGACCGACTGGGCCCACCTGGCGAAGTCTTGCCACCTCGTCTTGGGAAAGTAAGGCCGAGCCAGACCCGAACGTGATGCGATCTCAAGAGGCTCACGCCGTTCCGCCGACCCCCAGAAGAGGCGTGGAGTCCACGGTTGAGGCGTCGTGGGCTTCTTGGGCATTATGTGGATTCTTGTGGGCGTCTTGGGGACTGTTTGGGGGCTTGGCGGAGCCTCTTAGCTGCAGTTATGAAGCGTGCTGGGTGGGGACCGCCTTGGGGCCTCTTTTGGGCTTCTCTTGGGCCTCTCGGGGGCGCCTTTTTGGGGCCGCTTGGGGGCTTCGTGGGGCCTGGGGTGGCCTCTTGGGGCGGAAAGATCAGATGTTCAGTTCGTGTTCTCTGCTTCGCATCTCTCGGGGCTGGCCGTGTTGGGCCTCTCTTTCGGCCTTCTTGGATCCCTCTTGGGCCGTCCTGATGCCTTCGTAGGGGCCTCTTGGGCAGTTTTGGGACGGTCTACGGAGCCTCTTGGGCCGTTTTGGAGCGTCTGAAGCTCGCGAAGACGATAACCCCAAACACAATGAAAGACCTAAGGGAACCATTGATATTTGCCTCTCGAGGCCCTCTTGGGAAGGCTGCTGGGGCGTCTCGATGGCGTCTTGGGGCGTCTTGGAGCCATCGTGGGGGCGTCTTGGGCCAATGGTTCCGCGATTCGGGAGCGTCTTGGAACGACTTCGAGACCACGGAAGGAAGACTTGGAAACTCCGGAGTCTCTGGGGGTCCGCCAGGGAGCCCGGATCCCCTCCCTTTAACGCGATGTTGGACCCCAGGGGAGAGGGGGAAAGGGGGAGGGGGACAGCCAATCATCTCAAACGCTTTTCAGCCCCCGGCAAGCGGGGGTCAGCAGACATCAAAGTGGTCGCATCACTTCCGAGCCCCAGGGGCTCCGAAGGTGCCGTGGTGGAGCCCCTCTTGGGCCGTCTTGGAAGCTTTCTCTTCGGACCATCAGGAGAGCCTAAGGGGTCGCCCTGCAGCCATTTCATCATAATATCAGATTGACCATTGTGTGTGGCTCTTGGCTTCAAATCGTGGGCCTCTGGGTCCACCTCGAAGTTCGTTGATTCCATCTTGAGGTCTTCGTGGCCACGTGGGTAGCGAGTGGGGCGGGGGGAGGGGGCTGGGGGCAGGTCGGTCACGGGCGTGACGCGAATGGTGAGACAGCGGACTCCACGGGTGGCGCAGTGAGGGGCGCGGAGGTGCGACCGCTCCCTGGGGCTCCTCGCGGCGCGGAGGACGAAGCCGGGCGACGCGGCGCGGGGCCGTGGGCGCGGCTGTCCCTGGGCGTGGGGGGGGGGGGGCGGCGGCCTCTCTGCACGCGCCCCCGCCTGCTGCGCCCGCGCGCGCGCGAGGCGGACAGCAAGCGCAAGCGAACGGAGCGCGAGAAGGAGGACGACGAGGACGCCGCGGGGCCGAATAGGGAGCGGGGGGGGGGTCTTGGCCAGCCCGCGCGGGGCCCACGTCGATCCTATCAATCGCAGCCGATATCGGCTCTAGAATCCTTGGTGCGGCTCGGTTCCGATACTCCGACGATCCCCGCATGGCGTTGTTGTGCCTTCTGGCGCAGCCGATGCGATTCGATTTCGACTCGGTGCCGATGCGGAGCGATCTGACGCACGTTCCGATCCGATCCGATCTCTTGGTTCGATGCTGGCGGATCTTGCCAGCGCAAGGTTTTCGTCTTCGGCCGCGGGCCCTCCCGGGCTTCCCTGGGCCCTCCCGGGCTCCCCCAGGCCCTTCCCCATCGCGTCCCCAAGCTCTGGGGTCTCCCTGGGCCTTCCCAGATGTCCTCGTGCAGCGAGGACCCTGCTCAGAAAGACAACTATCGTGTTGGGAGGACGGGGCTTGGAGAAATGACCACATCATCAGTATTACCGCGTATGTTGACGGCGCTTGTTCCAGAGTCGTACCCTGTATCTTCCCAATCCCTTCCTCCCAGCACGGCAGTTGCTTTTCTCTCACCAGCCCCGGTTGTTCAGAGGGAGGGGGAACGTCGATCCCAATTCTGCCATTCGTCGACGACAGGAGCCTCGGGTGCCCCATCGCGCCCAGGAACCTGCTGTTTCAGGGGCCCATCGGCGATGTGCTGTCAAGTCCAGGTCGATGTTGATCCTCCTGTTCCCAACCCCCATTCTGCCGCCCTCCCAGGAAAGGGAGCGTCGGAAGCGAGAGCGCGAGAAGGAGGAGGCCGCGAAGCGGAAGCAGGTCGAGGAGGACCGGAGGAAGTTCGAGGAGGAGCTGCAGCGCAAGCGGGACGCGAAACGCAAAGAGGAGGAGGAACGCAAGAAGTCCGAGGCCGAGAAGCGAGACAGTGAGGCCAAGAAGAAGCGCGACGAGGAGGCCGAGAAGAAGAAGGAGGAAGACGAGAAGAAAAAGGCGCAGGACGAGAAGCAGGCTAAGGAGCTGAGCGCGGCAGAGGAGATGCAGCGGGCCACCCTCGTCATCCTGCGCCTTCTGCAGCAGCTCTCGAACGCTACCCCTGAGAACTTCGAGGACCTGAAGAAGGAGCTGGCCGACGCAATGGACAAGGAGCTTCCCAAAACAGGTCACCAGATGGATACGCTGAAGGGAGAGGCCGATCGGGTGCTAGCTTATTCAACAGGCTAACGCCAGGTCGCCGACAGCCGACACTCAAATGCGGCGGATGCGACTCATCGTGAGCACTTCCTCAGCTACCTGGGGACATCTTGGGGCCTCTGTCTGCGTTAAGTGTGGTATCAGTGGATCTGAGACGCAGCAGGATGGTGTGGAAGAGGGGAGGTGAGGATCAAGAGGAGGAGGAGGAGGAGGAGGAGGAGGAGGAGGAGGAGGAGGAGGAGGGGGAGGCTCGTTTTATTAGGGGTAACGGGGGCGCGGGCGGTGAGAGCATGCTATGTTATTGGTTGTGGTATTACAGGCTACAGACGAGCAGCTCCTGAGCCCGCGAAGCAGGAGTCGCGGCGGGCTCAGGGGTGAGCTAGCATGAAGTCGGGCCTGTCCCTCTACAGAAGGAACATTCAAAACTAGTCAAAACGTCGTCTGGGGATGATTTTTATTTTTTGTTCTTATTTCTGAGAATTGTTTGACTGTTTTTCATTTGTTGCTCAAAATCCGCCTGTAGGGGGGCATGCCCGACCTAAAGCTAGCACGCAAATCTCCCAATCAATGAGTACTCGGGGTATGGCCTGGACGCTTGTGTTTCCGAATATTTGGGCTTGTCTTGTGACCCTCGTTGGGGTGTGTAGCGTCCTTGGGGGGGCCCTCTGGGACTCCCTTGCGACTTCCTCGGGGCTCTTGTTTGATCCATCTTGGCCGTCTTGGTTTGGCTTTTGATGGTGTTGGGTCGCGTGGGAGAGTCATGTGGCCGTCCTAGGCGGTCTTGGGCAGACCTGGAGACTGCAGGAATCATCAGGGGTTATTTGAGGCAGATCTTGGGGTGCACCATGGGTTGTGTATGGGCTTTCAGTCCGCCTCACGAATCCTCCCCAAGGCGTCCAGAAGCGATGAGGCGAGATAGCAAGCACAATGGAAACACTTACGATAGTTAAATGATTCGGGTGTCTGGGCTCCGTCTTGGGATCTCTTTCGTCTTTTGGGGACTTCCATTTGGTTTGTTCGCGACTTATTGCATTTCTCTTGAGGCCTCTTGGCCTTGAGTTGAGCCCGTCCTGAGCCGTGCTGTAGGGCATTTGGGCATGATGGAGGCCTCGGAGTGGATCTGTAGGCTCTGAGGGGCCCAAGAGGAGAGTTGAGAAGCTCGTCGACCCGCCATTCAACACGATATTGGCCGCCCAGAGACGGGGACCAGGGGAGGGATACAACCGAGCATCTCACATGTCTCTTCACCCCTGGCAAGCGGGGGACGGCGGATTCTGAGGAGTACGTCAAGCAGATCGCCGAGCAACGCGAGAAGATCGAGAAAATCCGACTCGAGGCGCAGGCTAAAGCAGAGGCCCAAGAGGCGAAGGCGAAAGAGCTGATCGGAGAGCTCGAGCCTCTGGTGGTCAAGGCAGAAGCAGCCGTCGAGAAGGTGAATGAGGCAATCTTGCCAATCAAGAAACCGGAGAAAGGTGCGGACGCGGAGGCGGAGAAGGCTGCGGATAAGGACGCGACGCAGGACGCAGAGAAGCTTGCAGAGCCGGCTGAGAAACGAACAGAGCCTGCCGACCCTGCTGAGTCGTTGGACGACCGGCAGAAGTTTAAGGTCGCTGTCACCGTGGAGTCCTTCGCGGAGACTGCGATGGCTGCTTGCTCGGCCACTGCCAGTTTCATCACCGAGAACAAGCCTGCGATCATGGAGGCCGAGGGCATGCGCGAGGAGTCGGAACAGATCTTAGTGGTCGTGCAGCAACGGGTCCAGGGTGCGGTGCAGCAGGTGATGGAGGCCACGCAGAGGGCCAGAGAGATCAAGGAGGCTGTCTCTAAAGGCATTGTTGCGAAGAAACGTGGCAGGATCCAAGAGAGCATCTTCAAGAAATACAACTCCAAAAAAGATGGCCACCTGAGTCTCGATGATGTGAAGGCCTATGCCAAGGGCGAGTGCAATTTTGAGATTCCCCAGGCGAATCTGGATCGAATCTACAGGCAACTCGTCGAGAGCAACGGGGGAGTGTACCTCAGGGATTTCTTCCTGTTGAGGACCACAATCGGCATTGCACGCGACGAGGTCGCTGGAAACGAGCGGCAGGCAAAAAGGCTAGAGGAGGAAAGAATCAGGAAGGAGGAAGAGGAGAGGATCAAGAATCTGGTAATCGAGAAAAAGGGCGAGCTCAAACCGCAAGTGGAGGAGCTGCTTGAGGCACTTGGTGCATTTGGGCCGAAGGTGACAGTATCTGACCAAACTGCTGCAAAGCTCTCCGAAGGCGCACAAGAGATGGGCAACGAGCAGCTTAGGACGAACTCAATCGAGCTGGACACCACCATTAAGGAGCTCCGCGCAGAGCTCGGCGAGCTGCAGAAACGCATTGAGAAGCTGAACGCGGCCTCTGGCGAGTTCCCAGAGCTCATGGACGCGATGCGCCTGGAGCTGACAAAGCTCACAAGCCACGCAGACGTGTACGATTGGCGTTTGCAAAAGTCCGGGGGCATCGCGTCTGAAGGGTCTAAGCTTGCGCGCCAGAGGGCCCTGATCGAACAGGACGCTTTCCGCACGGAGGTAGCCACGAAGCTCCGCATTTGTGTCGAGAACCAGGGTAAGAAGGCGGAAGAATTGTTCAAAATCATTGCCAAAGACGCGCAGTACATCAGTGCCAAGGATATCCAGGAGTTCTTGACCCAGAATCAGTGCGAGATTGATCCGGACATGCTATGCATCGCGCTTCAGAGTATCGAGAACCATCCAGAAACGCAGACCGAGTCCGCCATTGCACCTGCGATGCCAGAGTTGCCAGCACTCAAAGATGGCAACCAGGCTGAGGAAAAGGACAAGAAGGAGGACGGCAAGCCAGCTGAGGAAAAAACGACAGAAGAAAAGCCAGCCGAGGAAAAGCCAGCTGAGGAAAAAGCGGCAGAGGATAAGCCAGCAGAGGAAAAGCCGGCAGAGGAAAAGCCAGCAGAGGAAAAGTCAGCAGAAGATAAGTCCGTTGAGGAGAAGCCGGCAGATGAGAAGCCAGCAGATGAGAAGCAGGCCGCCGAAGCTCCTCCGGTTGGCGGCAAGACTCCCGAAGCAACAAAGGCAAGGATCCACCAGATGAAGATTTCAGAAGATGATTTTACGCGCTTCCTGCGCGTGTATTACAAAGTCGTGAAGACGATCGTTCTTTCTGACAGCTTGTACATCGAGCAAAGCAAACAAATCAGGCGAATGGAAGCGGGCTTAGAACGCCGCGGGTGTCGATGATCATCCTCGTCCTCACCTTCCGCATCCTCGCCATTTACCTCGCCTTATTCATCTCTTCCTCCTCCACCTCTTCCACCTTCCAAACACGCCCCGTGCGTTGTGGCTGGTTCTTGGGTTTTCGCTCCGTGAGCGCCCATGGGCACCCAGCAGGCGCCCCGTCCGAGGTGGTTGGTTGTTGGATGTTCGCCTCGTGGGCTCCCCTGGTCGTCCGGTGGGCACCTCATATGTGTTTTCATGTCTACCATGGTACTACAACCATTCAGTACTAGTACTATCACTGTGACTACACCAACAGCAGCAGCCTCTACTATTACTTCTACTACCACTACTACTAACCATGTTCACCACTAAAAGTGTCGCTAGCATTTCTAAGCGTACCACTACTACTACTACTACTACTACTACTACTACTACTACTACTACTACTACGACTACTACTACTACTACTACCACTACTACTACTCCTACTACGGCTACTCCTCCTCCTACTACTACTACTTCTTCTACTACTACTACTACCTTCTCCCACTACTACTAGTATTACTACTACTACTACTACTACTACTACTACTACTACTACGACTACTACTACTACTACTACTACGACTACTACTACTACTACTACTACTACTACTACTACGACTACTACTACTACTACTACTACTACTTCTTCTACTGCTGCTACTACTACTACTACTGCTACTACTGTTCACTACTCACTACTCACTACTACTGCCACTACTACTACTACTGCTACTATTACTACTGCTACCACTACTACTACTACTACTACTACTACGACTACTACTACTACTACTACTACCACGACTAGTACTACTACGATTACTGCTATTACTACCACTACTACACTTACAGCTACTATGACGACCACGACTACTACTACTACTACTACTACTACTACTACGAATATTGCTACTACTACTACTACTACTACTACTACTACGACTACTACTACTACAACTACTACCTCTGTTACTACGACGACTACTATTACTACTAGCACAACCAACTACGACGACGACTACTGCTTGGATTATTACTACTACTAGTACTAATACTTGTACAACTGCTACTGTATTCACTGCTACTACTTGTACTACTACTACTACTACTACTACTACTACTACTACTACTACTACTACTACTACTACTACGATGACTACTACCACTACTACTACGGTTACTACAGGTACTAATAATGATACTGTTACTTTTACTCGTACTACTACCACGATAAGTGGTAATACTTGTTTTTCCCAATCCCTCCAATTACACTGGAACTACTACGAGTACGAACATCGTCTCTACTTCCACCACCACTGCTCACAGCTGCGACGACGACTACTACCACTCCCTCTGCACATGCTACTATTACAACTACACCTAAGCAGTATCGTGCGACTACGGTTACTGTCGTCAGTATTCCTAGAACTACGACTACTAGCATTCTCATTCACATATGCTTACGTAGCCAGGCTTGTGCTACATTGCTTGCATCGCATAGCTTGCGCAACACAATTGCACATCGTGACTTGCACCGTGTAGTTTGCATCACACCACTTTGCGCCACATTGCTTGCAACACGTATGTTGGCCCACTCATATTGCATCATTTAGCATGCACCACGTAGCTTGCACCAATGTGGCTTGCACCGGCTTGCACCACGCAGTTTGCACCACTTTGGTTTGCACCACGTGGCTTGCACCACATTTTCACCACACAGCGAGTGAGCTTGCACCACTTGTTCAGTTCAAAGGCCCGATATCAGCGCACGTGTGTAGTCCACGTGTGCAATCCCAAACCCAGATAGCAGCGCACTGGCGTACCCAGCCCGCTCGAACCCGCGGGTGACAGCTGTCCACACGAGCCCAGGCAGTGTTGACATGGAGCTGCCTGGGCGTGGATGAATCGTTGCCTAAGGCTGCGTACGAACCCAGGAATCACTGTTCGGCAGCTGCGGGCGAGCCTTGGAAACGCCGTCCCGGAATTGCCTAAGCGTTTTCCATGAGCCTAGAAAGCTAGGTGTTGCCCGCGAACCTAGGAAGCGCTGCCCAGGATTTGTATGAGACCTGCCGACGAGCCGACGAAGCGTTGCGTGGGAGTTGCCTAGGACCTGCGCGTGAATTCAGGAACGCGCTGCGCAGGAGCTGCGCAAACGCTGGCTGCGCACGTATGGGAACGAGAAAAAAAAACGCTGGCAGAACACGCTGCGGGTTCCAGCAGGGCGTTGCGGCGCTGCTGGCCTGGCAGCGATGGCAGCACAGTTGGCCTAGCCCTGCTTGCCGGCTTCTCCTCTACAGCCTTGCCGCTCTCTCAAAGAGTTATGCGGGAACTTATGTTGCACCGCGTAGTTTCCATACCCAGAGTTACCGAGCTAAATGGTTGGGGCCCGCGCGAGCAACTATGCGTTCGCAATGAAAGCCGAAGCTCGAGGTTATGAAGCGCATCAGGATTCAATCGGAGCGGACATCGTAGCTGCAAGAGGTGTATACCAAAGCTGGAAGTCTAGAATGATCTGACCGTAGATGTTGTTACAGCAATCTTGCATCAGCTGCGTAGCTTCACTTGGATGTAACTAGGGTTGACTGCGTTGTGCACTTAAACCAGGATTGTGTCATTCGTTGGGTTGCGGTTTACTTGTATCTGTTGCGGATTGTCCCAGCAGGTACGTGGCGAAACGCGTCCCAAAGATACACGTATTAATGCTACTCTCACAAGCACTACGTACTACTATTGCTGTTTCCGGCAGTGAAGCCACGACCATTCTCATTCTTACTCTTACGACGACGCGGACGTCTTCTGTTACGACGATTATCTTGTTTTTGCGTATGCGCGCCCTTCGTCGGGCTGCTTTTAAAGAATCGTGAAACTAGGAGGGAGGAGGCCGATACAAGGCATGAGATGCGCTTGGCCAGGATCGGTGAGGTGATCAGCTGGCGCCCACTGAAATGATAGACCAGTGCAAAGATGCACATCCCTGGGCCGACGCTCGACTTGCGGGTGCGATCTGTTGCTTGCCCCGATTTTTTTGAACGCGCTGCAAAGATGCGCGACCCTGCTTCGGCTTCGTGCTACGGCCCTGCGCCGGCTTGGTGGCTGCTGGGCGCCCGCTTGCTTTCCTGCACCCTCGCTCTGGCTCTTGGTCCGCATCCCGGACCCACAGCGCGACACTTCCCTGCCCAGAGCTCCGACGTCGGCGGCTGTTCCGCCATGAAGGAAAGAAAAGAAAATAAATAACCGTGAAACTAACATACTAACAAACCAACTTGCGTCATCATGCATTCACACACTACACATAACTTCAAGCGCCATGTCCAAGGCAGCCACCTCTGCATGAAAGGTCGAACGCGAAGATTGCATGAACTTGCCCAGCACACCCTGCTGCACAGGCTCGAAGCCTGTCGGAGTTTTGAACACCAAGATGAAAACAGCAGCCACGGCACCGGCACCATGAACGAAGTCCCCGTCAGTGAATTTCTGGCCCGTGGGCGCTAATCCATTGGATCGAGCAGCCACCCTTTTTAAGTCGTAAGTGCTGCTGCTGTTTAAATCACACCAGCGTGTCCGGATCCTGTACAGAGCTGCCCCATAGAGCTCGTTGTTCACTGCATGATGCCGTTGGCAATTTCTGCGAGGATGTGATTGTCCACCACGATTTCTATCTGTGGTTGACAGCATTCTGGGTCCCACAACTCGTCCCGGCCGAGCTTCAGCTGGAAGGGCACGGCTCCGATATCCCACGTCTGCGTCTTCAGTTTCTTCGAATGCGGCGGCACCGCGACATTCGAAGTGTCATCAGCTTCTGCTGGAATCAGCATACCGAAAGCCACGCAAGCGTCCCTCACAAAAGCATCCTTTCCTTGCATCCAAACTTCCAGGCACGCGCACTGCTCGAATTTGTCTCTCCAGTTGTCGCCCCAAGTGGTCTGAAGAATGGCGTCCTCCATGCGCTGACGACCCGGCTGCCTATGAAGCCCGAGATGCACGCGATATGTTGCAGGAACACATTAAATGGTATTCCGCCATCGGCGGTCTCTATCTGAGCGGATACTGGTTGCAAGGTGCGCTGCCCCACGCTCCCTCCAGAGATGGACATACACTCTCTCAAAAATCGCAGCGTGTATAGGCTTGACGCCGCAGTTCCGGAACCACGATTCGAGCTGCATGGCGGTCTTCTTGTTGAAAGACAAAGCTCCTTCGTCAGGTCTGCGTCGCCACCAAAAGGTCCTCCTCAAAGCATCCCTCTCCCATCTGAGGGCATCACGTAGAGACGCGGACAATGAGCTCGCGGCATGCTGGCGTATGCTCTGAGTTTCAAGCTCACCGGCGATTTACCTCTGAACGATTTCGTAAATTTGAAGAAGCATTTATCCGCCTTGCCAAACCTGTGCGATATAAGCTCATCTGTCGCGTTCCTGGGGCAGAGCACCCTGCCCAAAGCATCCAATACATCTACGCGTTGTTACTGAAGCTGCCCATCGGCAAAGTTGAGAGGAACAGGAAACAACTCGGTTCCATGGCTGACTACGTGAAGCGAGATCGGTTTCCACTCCCACTCGCACTTGTCCTTCAACGCATTCGGAAGTGTTTCTGTCAGAAAGCGCCACTCGCCAGCATTTGATGCAATAACAAATGTGTCATCGACCCAATTGACGTTTGCAATGCGTTGTCCGCTCGCACCGATATGAACACCATATCCTAAAGCATCCCACTCCGCCGCAAGAGGCTCCAAGGATGCATCCAGCATCTGTACGAAAACAAATGGTTCGTATGTTCCCCCCATCCGCATGGCTTTGTTCACGGGAATGCTGGGGGCCTGGGCAACGCTCGGTACATTCAGCGTAACCTCGAGGTCGCCATAGCTGCGAGCCAGAGCAAGCACATGGTGAGCACCTGCACCTACTTCACGAAGCTGCTCAAGCATATCCACATGTTCTACAGAGTCGAAT